CCTAAACATGTTACAGAACTACATTTTATACATTATCCAGATTATGGCAAGGCAGAGCATATAACCAGAGTGTTTGAAAGAATTTTATTTGCGATATATAGAGGGACAGCGACACACTATTTGCATCGCATACAGTTCCTTCAACATCGAATTCGAACGGCAAAAGGGCCTACAACACACACCAGCCGACAAATATTAACATTTATTATATTTTATGGTTAACTTTTTTTTCTTTTCAAGATTGACAGGGGAGGCTCTGCCTCCCCTGACCGCATGTCACTGATTGATACATGGTTGAGAGATCAATGAAAAGAGCTGGGCAGTATTTTTACAGGGGTATACAAACAATTTGAACCGGGGCCAGGATTGGGTTTAACATTTCCTGATAGCAAATGTAGGCTCGGGAAGATCCGTAAATGTTACTTTTGGCTTTTTCCTGCTAGGGGTCACCACAGCAAATCGTCACACTGATGATTTGCATGCTGACATTTGGCATGTTTTACACCCTTCCTGACTTGAACGCAGGCCGCAGTGGTGAGAGGGCTGCACCCTAACCACTAGTCTATCAAGGAACCTGACATGGGAATATCAGTAACAATTTAGTATACTCCTAAAAGACTCAAGATTCCAAACTGTATCCTTCCAAAGAGATAAAAACTGTGGTGTAATGTGTTCATCCAGACTTTCATGCACCTCTTGTGGAGTCACTACAATCAATAAGATTAAAAAATGCTGAAAATAACATGCTGATCGGTGTGTTACAAAAAACAGAAAACAGTGACGAACTCCAATTCAAGGGAGCAATAATCCACCCTGGATTTTTTGTCCTTCAGAGTCAAATGGTGACATTGTGTGATGTTCCAAGTAAACAGAAACACAATCCCGCTGCTAGTGAAGTACTGCTGCTTAATAAAATGATCATTCAGGATATACGCAGGTAATCTGCCAAACAACTCCAATATTAAACCCAAATCAGCAAGGTGCAAGCACACACTGGCAGACAGACAACAATTCAGCAGCAATTTCCCTAGAAGACAATAGGATGCTCACTCTAAGCCTACTGTGTGGCAGAATACAAACAAAAAAGAGACAGAAACAGGCAGATGTTGATAATACTGGGCTAATTATAGACTAAGTATGAATGAGTATGAGTACAGATGCAGCCATCTTAAATTGCTGGCTGGATTGCGGTGGAACCAATGCCTCATCTGTGCACAGCCCCTTCTCGTACTGTGTATCCCCTGTGATGATGTAGTGATCATATTGCCACTTTGTTATCACCCCTAAGGATCATGTATGGAAGCCGCCTGCAATGTTGTGTATATGAAAATCAGTCATTGCTTTTGAATTGTGGTTCAACAGAAGAATTTTAAAAAAGAAACTAATGAAACTGGCCTGTACAAAAATGATCGTACCCCTAGAAAGGATTGAAAATAATTTGACCATAGAGACATGTTAAACTAAGTGTGTCCTCTAATTAGCATCACAGGTGTTTTCAAACTTGTAATCAGTCTGCCTATTTAGAGGGTGAAAAGTAGTCACTGTCCTGTTTGGTATCATGATATGTACCACACTGA